TTTAGTGGTCTGTAGAAAAGTACTTTTGCTAGAGACAAGATAGAACATCAGTGCCATAAATTCAAATGATTAAGGAACTGTTACAGGCAATTTTTCTCAGAGCGCTGTTAAATGGATGTATAATTATCAGCGCCTCTATGAGAAGAACAAAGATTACCTAAGCAAAGGTGCTCAAGTGGAGAAATGTAATTTAGAAAAAAAGCTGATGATTCATGCTTTCAGTAAATCTAGTTTGAAGTTTCATAGTAATACTGTAAATAACTTCTTGTTGTTCAAGAAGCAAATATTTTAAGAGTCATAATCAATGCACGTTTGGAAGACTGCACAAATGACTTAATTCAATACTAGGGCATCTAGGTAAACTTCAACCCCTTATTTCTTAAAATGAAACTGAAATTTAGCTGCATATTATATTTAAAACTGAGTCACTGTGCAAATAATTGGCCTGGTGTTGTATGCCCTAACATAGGAATAACAGACTAAAATAACATTTGCTTTATATTGAAAATGCTTAAGACAAGACAATGACTAAGAGCAGTTTATTTTATTCAACCCTAAATAAAGTTTATAACAGGTGTTTGGGAGGAAGGTTAAATCCAAATCTCACAAGTATCCACTTGCCTATACATATGAATCTTGCATATAAATCTTGCACCCAGGACTTCCCTTGACGTGTCTCTCTTGCACCCCACCCACACCCCATCTAAACCCCTGCAGCAACTATTGTGAGGGGGGGTTTGGTGAGCAGGGTTTCCATTCCCTCAGCTAGGTGAGTCACACAAAGTGCAACTTACATTTTCGGTTCCTTTATTACATTAATTAGGACAAGCCCAACTACTGGAACTGAACATTCTTTATCCCCCTCAAAGTAAAAGCCAGAAGAAATAGAAATGTATTCTGAAGGCTGTATGATCTCAGACTACGATTGATGATGTTATTGAGCAAAAGTCGGGATGGAGGTCAAATCTCACACTTCTGCTCCCTGGTAAAACAAGGAGCCATGCACATTTTGTCTAGCACCTCTTCCTCTTCCCCAACATCACCTTTGGTTCAATCATCAGAGGGAGGGTGTGTGTGACAGCGCTGATCTCCGACCCACACTTTCATTTCCTTAGCCTGGCAAGTAAAACCAAAGCACTAAGTGTGTTGCCCCCATTATATTCTGCGGCCCATTAAGTCATTATTAGAATTTGACTGAAAAACTGAATTACAGCATGTTGATTTGTATCTACATATTTTAGCTGGCAGATTTAATTGCACTTTTTGCAAATACTGTCTGTAATACATTAACACAAGTGATGTAGAAATGCTACTCTTACCCCCGGCTATAAGGTTTTCCTCCAAGATTGAATTTTATGGAAGTCTTCAATTATGTCAGTAAAGTTCAGTTTTGTTTTCAGGTTGTTTTCAAAGGACAATCATTTTATTCCATCTTTTATGATCAAAGTTTTTAATTCTTTTAATCTTAGAGAATGACCATACTGTTTCCACGTTTGTAATTTGTGAGGATAAAATGCAGAGCGATGTCCATGTTTGGAGCACTTCACTTCAGCTGCCAAACATTTAATTGCTGCAAGAGGGTTAGTGAGGTTTTGATCTGCTGTTTTTTAAGCAGCACAACCATTAAAACTCTTCTGAAAAAACAGTCTTGAGATCCCATAAGAATTTTGAGCATTTTGAAACCAAAGCTCTTACTTCTGAGTAAATCTGTGCAGGGCATGTTGTGGCATTCCTGTAAGTCTCAAGGTATTTTTTTAACTGTCAATGATATCTTTACAGGTTTACCTGTAATTTTTTCTGGAACTTGTAGATCAATGAGCTTGATTGTAAAACAAGCATGTGCTACAGTTGCTGCTTTTGTCTTTACACATTTCCAGTTCATCAAACAGATCTCTAGGGTGTCTTAACAAATACACAAAAGAGAGCAGGACAGACCAACCAAGGTCAATCTGTACTTTTTGAAGTGTGGAGCTTGTTGAATGAAATCATTGAAAGATATGACTTGACAGATGTACTGTACCAGTTTCAAGGAAGTCTGTTTCTTTATCTTGTTATTTCTTTTCATTTGATGAATCAAGAATGAAATGTAACTTTCCTTTTGTGGAAATGCTCACAAAAAAGACAAAAGATTGTGTTCCTACAGCAGCCTAAGTAGGCCAACTGAACGTTACATGTTTTTGTTTCCCAATAACTGTGAGGTCTTCGCAAGTGCACTAAGTGCACATTGGTTATGTAGAAGGACAGAAATTGGAAACACAGAAAACAAAGATGGGCACAAAAGGATATAGAAAGTAAAGTCCAGAAGATTTATTTTGAGGTCAGAAAGTAGATTCATTAACAGAAAAAAAAAAATCTTCCTCAGTAGTCTTCAATCACTCTTTTGCTAGAAATCAAACAAAATTAAAAAAGTAAGTTATTAAATACAATGAGATAATACATAAATATAATATTAAATTATAGCCATAAAATAAAAGATCAAAATGAATACATGGTGTGGTCAATCTTTCATTTGCATCCCTAGCAAGATTCACTTGCTATCCAGCAGTGGCACATTGAACCATGACTGGTTAATCACATCAATGTGAGTTAGTATATTTATTTGTGTGAAGATTCAGGCAGGGCAGACATGTTAAACATGAATAAAAAAAAAGTTCCACTATTACAATTAAAATACATTTCCAAAAATGAATTTTACAGCAGGGAGCCTGTTTTTTTTTTCTGTTTGTCTGGGGGTTAGCAGCCACTCCTACACACAGTAAGATGTCAGAATACATGCTTGCTAAATCAGTATCTTCATCTTTATGGTAAGGTTGCTATTGCGCCAGGCTAACTTATTTAGTTGACTAAAGGCCATGGCTGCTTTCCCTTTTCACAGATTCCTTGTACAGTGGCAGGTTAAACATCATGCTTGTAACCAAATAACTAGAAGTTTGCACCATTTCAATAAGACTTTTATCTAGGGTGAATTGACTTAGGGGGACCTGAGGACAGAAGTGGACACGGGTATTTTGCACCGAAAACAGAAGGTTTGTTTTCAAATGAAGCAATCTAGTAAGTTAAAGTAAATCCATTGGGATGAAAAAATGGCTAGATGAGATCCTTGGATCAATAAGCTACTAGCAACCAAATGAACAATACTGACCAAATGGCATCCTCTCATTTGTAACCTTATGTTCTATATAACTGGGTCTAAAAGTTCCATATACAGAGATCCACTTTGTATGTAGGGAAAACTAGTTATCTTTATATATATGTGACCACTCAACTATATTATTCTTCTACCCTTTGTCACACTTGCTCCCCCTGGAGCAATGCAGAATGCACTAGAATTACCATGGCAACAGGCAGAGCCTCTACTAGACCTGTCAATCAGTTGGTTGCAGTGACCATGCACTTTGGCAGGCAATCTGTTTCACCTGTGTGTAGTTTGTTAGCATGCCCACCCCACTGTTCAGGAGCTATGTTGCTCAGGTGCTAAATCTCAGAATTTGTTCTCAAGTCTCTATTCCTCTTGCTTTCTGACTGTGCTTTGCTTAAACTTTATGAATTTCCCCTTCTGCTTTGCTTCTGTGCTATCCTGGTTATGAACTTTGCTCGTCTTTTTGACTGCATTACTAGATTGTGGTTTTCTGTTTGTTTGCTTGCCATGTCTTCTTGCTTCACCTGCACTTGGGTTTTCCTCATTGTCCTGGACACCTCTCTCACCCTGCTATTAGCAGTATCACTACACCTTTTTGGAATTAATGGCTTTGTGTTTCTGGTCCTTGGCAGCCACTGACCTTACATGCAAATTTACCCACTCCTTTATGCTATACCTTTACAGTACAGAAAATTGTACAAGTAATCCTCATAAGATAAATGTTATACTTGAAAATGAGATACAGAGATATAAAGCATTTTAAAACATGATTCTTGAGTTACAAATTAGTTCTGAATGCACAAAAGACATATTTTATGATTGTTGTATCACGAGCTACTGTATATGAAAGAGCATAGAACTTACATTTTTAGAGCAGAACAGTTTCTCCTTTGGAAAACAAACATTTGTTTAAAAAGAGTAGAGATGACAGCAAGGCATATACAGTATCAGGAATGCAATTTAACATTGAAAGAAACACATATCAAACAGATGACTGAAATTCTTTTCATCTTGAAAACTGGATCTCTAATCTGTCATAGAACATTCTTTCCTCTTAGATGTTGCAGTGTTGCCAAGGTACAGATTTAGACACAATGTTCAGCTAATGGCACAGGAACTCAGGAATGGCATTTTACAGGAATAACCATATGACAGGCACATTAGGCCCTGTAAAAGCAGCTCAACAACTTACAGGCATGAACTCTCTGGCTTTACTGCCCTATGTAGAGAGAATAAAAGATAATATACTGACACATGTCATATTGTATTAAATAAACAAATAGCATGATATGACAACATTTTATCTGAAAGATAACAGTAAGATACTTATTTTTTAATTTATCACTATATACAAATGTGTCCTTTCATTTGATCATTAAACGTCTCCTTAATTATTTACTGTATGAATACTAACAACAGTTCGCACATACTGTAACTAAATGTGTCTTTATTTATGTATACTTTTCCTACTTGATTTCTATATTCATGTCAATTCTAAATTAAACACTCTGTGTATAAATTATTTTCCACACTTCATATCACCTGCAATAATATCCAACTGCAACAGAGCTGTGTCAAATAAAAAATCTTACTTGTTTCCTAAGTCCAAGGTGTTAGAGGTTTAAGGTTAAAGTGAAGAAATCACCAGTACCACCTAAGCAATTAAAATAATACATTTGTGCATTATTTCTTGTTTTTTGAATATTTTATGTGTGATTTACACAACTGAACTTCACTTTTATTTTATATACTTCAGACGTTTGTGCAAAAGGTTACTGTATTTTGCTTTTGGAAATATGCAGAGAACAGTATGTATACAGTATGCATTAAAGGATATAATTCAAAGCCAGTGTCAGTCCAATAAATTCTGTATTATATCGTAGTTGTATTAGGTTTATTAGCATTAATAATTCCAAACATACAGATATAAATGGTTAAAACAATTATTAAAAACAGTCAAAATAAAAAAGGCAAAATGGTCTCAAAAGACTTTACTAGCTAAAGTGTAGTACACGTTCTTATTCATAATATTATCATCTATGCTTACTATTCCCTTTCAGCTTTTTAATTCCAGAGAAAATTACCAAATGCAGCAATTTTTCTTTTAAAATCTATTTTAAAATTAAATATTGCATAGTTTTAGAAAGATCAGAATCCAAGAAATGCTCACAGTAGATAAGCCATTCTTTATGCACACTGAAATAAATGTTGAGACAACCTCTGTAGTAAAACAGCATTTCTAGTCTTTCTACAAACTGTACTATTACTGTACAGTATTGTACTTCCTTTATCTTAAATGAAGATATAGGTACTGTATATCAATGACACAATGACAATGTTGACCAATAACATATAATCAAAACAATGATTAGGGTTAATTTAAACAGAGCAAATCAATATCTACAGTATGTGCATTTCTTTACACTTTTTCAGTGTTAAATGAGTCTTTAAACAAGTATTGGGGGTTACCCATTTGTGAAAACATTCTGTAACTGATGACGGCCAAGAAAATAACCGGGTGGTTTGGTTTCCATGGAAGCATTTGCAATTCTTTGCCTAAGAAAATTAAATTCTATTACACAAACGACTGCAGAATTATCCTCAATGGAATTTAAATCTTACAGAAAAATGCTGGATATAAAATAATTAAGAATGTAAAGGAATGAAGGATGCAAAAATTCAACAGCTATTTATAGTACAACAGTGCCTAATCACGTTGAGTGTTTACAAGTTAGGATAGTTCTCTAGTGTGTAAGGCATGGGCTCATCTAGATATTCGCTAATAGGTTTGCTGAAAGATGAATTCTTCTTAAATGGAGTATCCCTTGATCGGACAGGTGTTACACCCTGAAAAACAGAGAAAGAAAATATTACCTTTTTTTACTTTACAAATTACTTGTATAGAGACAATGACAATATGAATAAAAACAAAAAACTGACAACATTTGCAGGTCCTTAATAAAACATCTGTAACAAAGATAAACACATTGTTATTTTGCTGTGGTTATAATTAGTATGAAAGCACAGTTAGTATCCATCAGTAAATGCAGTGATAATTTTCATTAGAATTATAAAGTCAGCTCCAACATTAAGTTCATTTACATGCATGAATACAGGAGCACTTACTAAAATAATACACTTCCTTATGAATGCAAAGTACTATCAAAAGTGCTTCACTGATAACCAAAATCAGAATAATTTTATTTGCCAAGTATGATACATGTACAAGGAATTTGGTCTGGTATCTTGGTGCAAAAAGATAGATAGAAAATAGTTCAATAATATGTGTACACTTCAGACAAAGAACATACACAGGTCCACAATAAAATACACACTACATCCTGTTTTCATGTGTTCTGGTTAAGTAAGGAGATGGCCAAAGGGAAGAAGCTGTTCAGTCAATATATGGACTTATCTATATCTGAAACTATGTGAGATAGAAAAAAGGTATCACAATGCAACCATAAAGACCTACTCACCTGCAAAAACACATTTCTGTTTAATAAATACTGTATATTTTTAAGGCTTAAAGGTTTCCCCAAAGACAATCCAATTATAATTACTTTTGTTTTTACTGTTGCAAAGTTTAAATTGACCATAAATGTTACATAAAAGTCCAAAGTGCAGTTTTTTTTCCAAGAATGATTTTTCTCAGAAAAATAGAGAAAATGTATGTACTATTAATTTAATAACCCCCAATTTAAATAACACAGTGAAGTGTGTAAGAGTGCTAATGTTCAGGATTTATTATTCCTGAAAACATGTTTTCATAATCACTCATTTTCCAAGATGACTGGAACCTTTACAAAAAAGATTGCTTTATCTATTTTCCTTCATTAGGCACATTCAGAAAGTGCTTAACTTTCTGGAGCATCTGCAATTTTTTAAAAATGCCCTTGCCTAAGAAATGTACATTATCATACATTATCATAGTACTTTAATGTAGAGTTATGGCCCACTTCACGAGAAGACAAGCTTCCTCAGCATTTTAACATTCCTTTAATCGAAAAAATTCCACATTAGCTTTGTTTTTTTAAATGTCTTTCAATAGCAATAAATATTGATCAAAGTTGAACAAAGTTACTAGAGTTAATAAACGCGAAGTATTATTCAGCACATAAACTGGAGGATAACCAAAATCAGAATAATTTTATTTGCCAAGTACGATACATGTACAAGGAATTTGGTCTGGTATCTTGGTGCAAAAAGATAGATAGAAAATAGTTCAAAAATATGTGTACACTTTAGACAAAGAACATACACAGGTCCACAATTAAATACACACTATGTACCCGTTTTCATTTTCATGTTCTCTGGTTAAGTAAGGAGATGGCCAAAGGGAAGAAGCTGTTCAGTCAATATATGGACTTATCTATATATGCGAATGCACATTAATGTAGGGCTTTCGAGCTCACGTGGATTTGTGCCCTACAGTACAACCTGCGGTACCGCCAGGTACATACAGTACGAACATGTTGTGATATTAAGAAATATAAAAAATGTAAATATAATGCCAATAATATTTGCTATTTTAGTTTTTCAAAGAAATGTTTATTTGTTAAAAGAAAACTGATGGCGACATCTGGGTTTGAACACTCAATCACAGGGTTACAGTATAACTCAGTCACTTAAGCTATCACACCACCAAGGCACTCATGTGACAAATACATCTCAATGGAAAGTCTTATACTACTGTTTGTGCAACAGTACATGGATATAGTTATACCGTAATTAATTTCTTTAGATACGCGATTCTATATTATATTCCTTATTAATCAATTTCTAAAAGTATGCTTCTGTTTACTCTGGTATCGAGTGTATTCACAGAAAAGCTTAAAACTATCACTTTTCTCACAAAGTACTGTATACTGTATAAACGTATAGTAACATGGTCAGAAGGAGCAAGGATCACGTAAAAACATTTCCGAAATAACTACACGTAGACTTTGATGCTTAAAATGTTTAGGGAGAAATGGAATACGTTTGTGTATTTTTTCTTTAAAATACCAAGACATGCCATATACAGTAGAGTTTTTATACAGTAATATGTTTATGTTCCTAAATTAATATCTTTTATGAGTATGTGAAAGGCATGGTGAATTGGAGATTCTCAAGAATTACTTTGTATGATTGGAAACAAATGCGTGACTGGATCAACGAAATGCTGTGGTGTTACTTTTTGTCAATGAAAAAATAAAGTATTTTCATTTACAAAGACGGTTACAAAGAATGTGGACCAGGGTAATATTTTGAGTTTACAGCCTGTCCAAGGTCATTCATTTAATACTATTAGTAATATCTTCGGTAAAGACTTTGATGACGACAGCTCAAACACTGTACATGAGAGGTTGAGCTTTATTAGCTCCACCTGGCAGTAATTCCAGATACTATTATCTTACTTGCGGTATTATGCGGTATTATAAGGTAACCCGCGTTATGACGTGTTATACCGCGACACGCCCACAGCGTTTTACAGCGACAAAACCCGCTCGTTTTGAATGGCTGCATCTGTATGACATATACTGGACATGAAGTATGTTTTTTGTAGAAAAATGTTCTAAAGATCATAACAAAAAGTACACAGTCCTGATTATTTGAAAACAATAAAATATTGAATGTATATAGAGATGCAGCCATTCAAAATGCATGATAAAACTCCGTGCTGCTGGAAAACATCTACAGCCTACTGTGTTACATGATTGGCTGGCCATAATGGCCGATATGTGGCATTTGGGGTGCATTAGTTGTTAGTGAAATTATTGCTTCTTTTAATCTCTCTACTGTGCATATTTAAATCCTCTAAATATGATATATTAGTATGGTAATTTACAACTAAAGGGAAAGTTAGGTAGCTAAGCATAAAACTAACAGGTGCATAACGTCTCTGATTATCATAAACTATATTTATTTAGTTAATTAGGAATATAAATATATTATACAAACTGTATATGGCTGGTAGTGGTAGTTTAAATAAAAAATACATAACAGCATCTCACTTTCTTTATAAACATTTTATGCATCAAAGTCACTCGGTCACTTACTGTGGTTACTTTAGAAAAAGTTTGAAGTGCTCGATCTGACAATATTAAGTTTATATACTTTATAAAAAAGCTATAATGTTTGAACCTTTTCTATGAATACTTGCGCTTGTTATTTCAATAAAAAGTATAATGTTTAGAATCTGCTTAATATGGAATATAATATGGAATCACATATCTAAAGAAATTAATTATGATATTAATTCAAGATCTAAATGTAATAGATTTTTATTGCTCAAAGTATTAATGTATTCCACTTTCTTTGTAAACATCTGCATCAACTTCTTCCACTCATTTGCTCATGATTATGTTTCAGCACTCTTTCAAAATGACTGCTTAGGAGTGGATTAGGCGTATACCTTTGAACCTGGCAGCCAGTGTTCATTTCCCATTTAAGGCATGTGTTTCTCTTGCGACAAAAAAGGTTATTTTTTTAGAGAAAGTACTAAATATTATGTACATTATATCAACATTTTATTTGTATATATCGCAACGTGTTCAATAAATAAATCGAAAATATGAATGATCAAATATGAATACTCGCAACAATGGGAGTGAAAAACTGGTTCAATCCAATTAGAACATACTGCATCCCAATGGGGCAATTCAAGACAAGCCTTTACAAGTCTGAATGTCAAACCGTATTTTGTTCAGGGTCATTTGTCACTGTTTTCATAACCTTTGCTTTCTTAAATTCCTATTTTTGAGACAGGATGCTTCAGATATCAATAACTCAACAAATAACCCAACAAATGACACAGAGCATTCAAACCACAGGCATTTTAAAGATTGTAATTATTGAAAATGTTCACAGCTTTTATTTAAACAATATCTAGTACCTGGTTGCAGTTTGAATTAAGCAGGTCTAATGTGTAAGCATGCTCATAACTCAAAAAGGCATTAGGCTACATTTTTATGCATCAGTTGAAATGTTCAGAAGTCTCTCAAAAACATAAAAATGTAACATAATATTGTATGGCACAATAGGCAACTGATTCTTTCAATTTTAAAGAAAATAAAAAATAAAAAACAATACATGTGCCTGCCTAAATTAGACATTGCATGACTTTAAAATCTTTCTGAGTCTTTGTGTACTTTTTAATATAACATTTTACACACTTTGATTTTGTAAACGTAATACACATTCCATTCAGAATGTTAAGTAGACAAAATAGCGCACTGCTCATTAACCGTAATGACTGTTCTGCAGCTATTTTTTTTTTTAATTTAGAAAAGTTTCATCTATACAAATACCACAGACTATTCTAGATTTTTTTTCTGAATGTCACACTTAGTTGAATATTTAAGTTACATCTAAATAAGAAAGTCAGGTGTCAGCATAAACTATTAGTAATCAATAATATTACATGGGGACCTGTATTCTTTACACCTGAAACACTGTTTTCTCTGAAAGCATTTTCTTCTCTCTTTTGCTGGTCTTTTGCAGCCTACACATGCTGACACAGCTCCCTATGTGAATTCTCGTTCTTGACTGAAAAGACTTTAGAGAACTTTACAACCTGACTGGCTCAATTGAAGGTGTAACCTGTCTGTCTTCAGTGTTGTGGCGCGGTTTCAACATATGGATAAGCTGCTCTCCGGTTACTGGCAATTGTAAAAATAACCCTTCTTCCCTCCTTTGTTTAGCTTAAAGAATTCCTTAATCCTTAATCACAAAACCATCACTTAATTTATCCAGATACACAAATTCACGCCAGAGCCAACAACAAGCTATAATAGTGGACTATTTTTATGTATTCACTATATAAGAAACAAACCAAAAGTAATGCTCTGATTGTGCTTTGAACC